GTGTGTGTGTGAGAAGAAAGGTGGGCAGAGGAGAGAGTAGTTATCCTCTCTATTTTCTCCGCACCAGCTTTGTGGTTTGTGTGAGGAACAGATGTTCACAAGTTGATACACTGCCTCATCCCCCCCCCCACCCCTGCTCGCTATCTCCTGTGCCAGCACCACCAACTGTCTGAGCGTATGCACACACACGCGCGCTCGCACACGCGCACACGCACGCAGGCGGGAGCACCTCACCTGAAAACATTCCGTGGCTTCCACCGAATCTTCATTCAATCCCGATGCTCTGTATATGCTCTCTGACGTCCTTGCCCCCATTCCCCCCCCCCCGACAGTTTGCGAAACGTGTTTGTAAAATTGGATGCAATTTGAATTCATTCTGAACTTTTATGACAAAGGCAACAATGAAGAAATGATTGAGGTATACCCTCTAAAAGTGTCAATCAAAACATGCCGCTATTATAGGTGTCATTGTAGGTCAGGGACTCTCATGGATGTACGGGAGGGTATTCAGCTGTAAACTGAGGACCTCATTGTCAGTTTCCCTCAGTGAGCGGGCTGTCAACGTGAGCCTTGAGTCAACACTTGATTTAATCAGGTGTCACTTCTAACTTTTGACAGTTTGTGCGTCTGTTGCTCAGCTAAAAAGGGCACACACAAATGCACGCTTCATATAGAAAATCAGACAGCTTGACTGCGTCACACTTTTTTTTATTTTTATTCCATAACAGTTTGTCGTCCTGCTGTGTTTTGTCAAGTGTGAGCAAATAGATGAGGATTCATGTGTAAAAAAAAAAAAAAAAAAAAAACTAAATCGCTGCACAGGCAACTCAAAAGTGCCTGAAAGAGTCCATGGGCAAAAACGGAGCAATAGAGCATTACATGAGGCGGAAACAAAAACCAAAAAAAATTTTGATTGTTAATGTGGAATTTTGACTGGTCGTTTGTTCATCTGGCTGGTTTTGCATTTGACTTTGCTGTGTTTGGACACGACTCGGGAGCAATGTGAGAGGTCTGCGCGGTTGACATTGAGATCTGCTAAGTGCCTTGGTGCGAAGCCATTCATTGATTTATGGACAATCAATATAATTCTGAAGTGGTCTCTGTGAGGAAAGGCGAGAAGTTGTATCTAAAGTCGCTTTACATTCGTCCATTCGGAGACGGTTTACCCGATAAGTACTCTTCGCTGGCATCATGGGCGCTAGTAAAATATGTCAAACTGCTAAACACACAAATAACACACCGCGAAGGCTTGATAAGACTCTCGGTTTGGAAACACGGCCACGTCGTCTTGCAGGTCACCGTCCGTGAACTCATAATAGACACAATCTGCGAGAAGCGCCGCGACGCGGTGCAATAGCAGGAAGACAATGAAAACAACAAAATGTCTGCTGGCATCAAAAGTCAACGCGTTAGTCGCCCTTCAAAGAAGACGGTTTTCAAACAAGAGATGAGATTAGACTCAAACATCCTTTGGATGGTTTCTTGGAATGAAACAAAGCTCGGTCGCTTGTTTGAGCGACGGAATTTCGGAGGCGGGGAAAATCAAGGATTGATTCGTTGATCCACGGGGACTAATATGGGCAGGCTTTATGACTCCATTTTGTCTGTAAATAGGAGTTACAAAGAGTCTCTTTGAAGCGATCGGAAAGAAT